GCACGCACGCACGCACGCACGCACGCACGCACGCACGCACGCACGCACACACACCGACCAGCATTACGTCCCACATTCGTCGCAGATCAACTGCATATATGCTCCGAATTCTGGAATTCTCGCACAGATATATCCCCGATGTTAACGCACACAGCCCCCCCCCCACGCACCTTTGTCGGCGATCTTCACGAACAAGCTGAAGCCTTCCGCAGACTTGAGACCGAGGCGACTCGCGATGTTATTGCAGAAGTCCTTCGCTCGCGTACTCGAATCAACTTCGAATGCCTGCGAGCGCAAAATCGTAGCGTGATCGACCATATGACCGACAAACGTACACACCGTCTATCTAATATATCTAATCAGGAGCGAATAATGACAAATTTTGTCCTTATTTTATCATTTATCATATTTAATTATTTATCATGACAAATTTTGTCATTATTAGCTCCTGATCTAATCTATCTATGTAATCCATCGTAATCCATCATAATAATCCAATCCATCTATGTAAATCTATCACGTCTGATTCATGAACGTACATATCCGCCTGGAGTGATTCACAGGTAGAAATAGACAATCGGTGTTACGACAGAACCATTCTAAAAATTCTACTTAGTACCTGCGTGAAAAACGCATGTAAACTGGCCTAGCTGACGCAGATAAAGTCTATGTCCACCTGACCTGGCTCGTTTAGCTATTTCTGACTAATATATATATATATATATATATATAATATATAATATATATAGGGTTAGGGTTAGGGTTAGGATTAGTCAAAAATAGCTAAACGAGCCAGGTCAAACAAAGGTCAGGGAGACATAGACCCTACGAGCCTAGCTGACGGACCTAGCAGCTATATCCAAGGCGGGGGTGGGGGGGGGTGATTATTTTGTTCAGACGGATAGTTCAGTTGTCCCTTACAAGCACAAATCACAACAGCATCCAAGTATGAGAATCATTTGCACATTGAAATTATTATCACCGTGGTTACCGTACCTCGTCGGTGTCGTCTGGGAAGTAGACCTTGTGGAATATCTGTGTCGTCTTGTGCTGTATGGCCTCCACTTCAACCTGATGAGGCGGGAACTTCCGCTGCCCATTCCTAATTCAATTCAATTCAATACTTTATTCACGCTTATCAATTACATTTTGGAGGTAACATATTAGTTAGACCATAGATATATACAACACATGTGTTGTATATATCTATGGTTAGACAAATTAATAGACAATGCAATCCTAAACGGCACATTAGAACACATCTCACCGATCGGGTTGCTCCGCTGCCATCTTCATGCGACGATCTTATTAGTCATTACACAAATAAACGCTAAGGCTAACCACGATACTGTCCCTGTTTACGCTAAACATGTTTCTGTTTACAATGATGTTTGATGGCAAAGGTCACGAGCCTCGTTCTGGGCTCCATAATATGGCGATCTCCAAATAAACATGTTGCTGTAATACCGGGGATATAATTCGATCCTTTAGTTCAATCTGGATTGCACTAGCCGTACGTAAGTGAACGACTTTAATAAAACAACAAATATAACAGATAGTGTGATCATCTCGCACACACATACAAGGCTAAATCCAACAACGAGGCGATACAAGGACGTGTGCATGTGTATGGTTCCCCACGTACATACTCTCCCTTAACAATCAACTCTCGACATACGACACGAAACATACTCATTTATCATAACATACTTATAAATACCCGCCTGCCACCCGCCCCCTGGACTCAAGCCCTCGACCCTCAGTGCTCCGTCTCCAAGATGGCTGACAATGACTGTCGGCATGTACGTGACCGACTATTGCAGTCCATCGTGATCGGGTGGTGGCACATGCATAGGAATGCACGCCTCCACTATGCCCAACCCTCCCCGTGCTCAAAGATGGCCGCCCATACCACCCCGTGCCCCGTGCCCAGACTACAAAGTTGGCCGCCACACACTATCCCCTACCTCCCCCACCCTCCTGTTACCACCGGCCTACCCTCTGCCCGTGCCCAAACATGGCCACCGTTGGTGCTCCGCTCCCCTTGCCAAACATGGCCGGGCCCGCCGGCCCCGTACGTACCGGTGTGCTGGTGCAGGCGGCTCAGGCAGTCCCATGGCGGGATCGGGTGGTGGCGCGTGCGCAGGAACGCTTCACTGACCCACCCTTCCAGTGCCAAACATGGCACCGCGCGTCCCGGCTCCCCTTGCGCCAAAACATGGCCGCCGCGGCCGCCCCGTGACGTACCGGATGGTTGCGGTGCAGGCGGCTCAGCAGTCCATGGCGATCGGGTTGATGGCGCGCTTGCGCAGGAACGGCCTTTCATAGCCCCACCCTCCCAGTGCCAAAACATGGCACCGCGCGTCCCGCTCCCTTGCCAAATACATTGGCCGCCGACCCCGTAGTACCGCGATGGTGCGGTGCGCAGGCGGTCTAGGCCAGTCCCTGGCGATCGGATGAGGTTGGCGCTCGGTGACGCAGGAACGGCCTTCGGCCTCCTGAGCAGGTTGGCGCTGCAGGCGAAGCAGCCCGTCATCAGCCACATCAGCTCCCAGCCACGCTCCTCGCTCACGCGGTTACGATTCTCCGTCAGCTGCTTCATCACCTGGCAGTAGATCTCGTCGCGAAGCACGTCCTGCAAGCAGACGATCGTTGTCATGGCAACGCGGCAAACGCGGAGAGAGGGAGGATGATCGTGTGTTCCGAGCGGCAAAATTGAATTTCGAGTGATTAAAATTGAGTCGCCTCTGCATTCTGTACACCAATTTAGAGTATTCTAATTCTGTATTACAATGCAGAGTTTTCTCACAGCCATAATTGTATATGTAGTTGTGTGATGATATAATATATATATATATATAAAGAGGGAGAGGCAAGCAGGAGAGAAGACGTGACAGACAGAGAGGTGAAACGGAAAGCAGACAGAGAGCGGAGATTCGAGAGAGAGGGGGGAGACGGATAAGAGAAGCTAGAGCAAGTGAAAGAAGTGTGAGCCGAGATGAGAGAAGAGACAGAGCGCAAGTTGAAGAGAGAATAGCAGAGAGAGAGAGGAGAGAGAGACAGGAGAGCAGAGAGATAGAGACAGGAGAAAGGAGAGAAGAGAGAGAAAGAAACAAGACAATGACTTGCTACGCACGTATTTCAGCGGTCCTCCAAGATGGTGTCGTGAGCTCGTTTCCGTGCGACTGCGCCGCGACGGATGGGTCGCCCATGTACTGAGCACCGGCAAGCGAAGCCATGGCAACGCCTCCGTGGACTCAGGGGGTCTCCTTTTGGTAGCAGCATGTCTTCAGCAGCGGCTTGCCGTCAGGGGGTCTTTCGCTGTGCTCTTCCACAGAACCTCTCGCTCGCCGCTTCGCCGGACGCCGCGGGGAGTACGGCGTCAGGGACTTGTGGGCATCGTGTGCTGCGGGTAGGTGCGTCCTGCGCGGAGGGGGGACCGAGTCGGGGGGACGTCGAGCGA